TACGTGACCAACGAAGCCAAGGAGGCATCATGGGTGAAGATGCGCTCTATCACCGAGCAGGCCGCTCTCGACGAATTCCTGAGCACTGCCGAACTCGCCGGAACCGATTTTACCGCTGAAAAAATCAACAACGTCAAGATTATCCATTCCGACCAGAAGAACCCCTTCCTCCTCTCCCCCTCCGAGGAGAAGAACGCTGTGAAGAAGCATCAGAAGAACAAGGGTAGATTGACCGTACCCCGACGACCCAAGTGGGACCAGTCTACAACTCGCAATGAACTGGAATCGATGGAAAGACAAAGTCTGTTGGACTGGCGGCGAGGACTGGCGGAGTTGCAGGAGAACCACGATCTGCTGATGACTCCCTTCGAGCGCAACTTGGAGGTCTGGCGTCAGTTGTGGCGTGTTATTGAGCGATCCGATCTGGTCGTCCAGATTGTCGACGCCCGTAACCCGCTGCAGTTCCGTTCCGAGGATTTGGAGACCTACGTGAAGGAGATCGACCCGCGAAAGAAGAACTTGCTGTTGGTCAACAAGGCCGATATGTTGACTCTCAAGCAGAGAGAGGCCTGGGCCGAGTACTTCGAGCGCAACAACATTAACTTCCGTTTCTTCTCTGCTCACCTCGCCAAGGAGAAGATCGAGGCTGCCCTCTTGGAAGAAGAGGCTCAGGGAAATGAGGAACTTGCCAACAAGACTAAGAACATGAATGTTCGTGATGATGAGGATGATGGATACCGCAAGGAGGACACAGTGGAAGAGGAAATGGCCAAGCTCGCCGACCCAGATCGCTCGCTTGGTCCTCACATCCTGGACACGGATGAACTGGAAGAGCTTTTCCTGGCCAACTCCCCCGAAACACTACCCCAAGATGAAGAGGCTGGCGAGCAGCCCAAGCAGAAGACTACAATCGGTCTGGTCGGATACCCCAACGTGGGTAAGTCCAGCACAATTAACGCCCTGCTCGGTGCCAAGAAGGTCTCCGTCTCTGCGACCCCCGGTAAGACCAAGCACTTCCAGACCCTGTACCTCTCACCCGAGATTATGCTCTGCGATTGTCCCGGTCTGGTGTTCCCCAACTTTGCCACCACCAAGGCCGAGCTGGTCGTCAACGGCGTGCTGCCCATCGACCAGCAGCGCGAGTTCACCGGTCCCGCCGGTCTCGTTGCCAAGCGTATCCCCAAGCACTTCATCGAGCAGGTGTACGGTGTCAAGCTGCGCATGCGCCCCATCGAAGAAGGTGGCACAGGCATCCCAACCGCCAGCGAGATTCTCCGTGCCTACGCCCGTGCCCGTGGTTTCTCCACTCAGGGTCTCGGTCAGCCCGACGAGTCCCGCGCTGCCCGTTACGTCCTAAAGGATTACGTCAACGGAAAGCTCCTCTACGTCCACCCGCCCCCAACCGCGGACGGCGAGCAACCCATCGACGTGAACGAGTTCAACAAGGATCTTTACGATATCCACCATCTCCCCGAAAGACGCCGCCACCAGCTCGCACAAGCCCAGATTGGCAAGCCAGCTACACCAGCCATGGTCGCAGATGACATCGACGCAGATGCCACCGCCGCCCCGTACAGCGAGCCCACAGTGGAGCCTGAGCTCGGCCGTACGTCGCGCAACCTCGATTCCGGTTTCTTCGGCACAGCGACTGGCCCTTCTGCCGGCCGCATGACTCTTCCCTTCCAGGCCCAGTACACCAAGCAGGGCCAGGAGATCCGCAAAGCCCCCACAGGCCGCAAGGAGCGCATGATGGTTGCTCTGGAGCGTGGCGTGGATGTCTCTGAGGTGCGGGGCCCTGGCTCCAAGAAGCACTTCAAGGGTAACAAGAAGGCGGCCAAGAAGATCCGCAACAACCCTGAAGATGATGACTACTAGAAAAAGTGCTTTTTTACTTGCGCCTGGGCGAGTCGAGGGGTTCTTGTTTCACTCCCTCTGCCTTTTGTGGGGTAACATACTTGGCCTCGTCGGGCCTGGGATGAATGAATGATAAATGATCCTATATTGGGATTTGCATGTCATGTCGGGATTGAAGTTTTATGTTCATGTCCATACGTTGCTGTTTGCAGAATCATCTTTTCGGCGTTAGGTTTTACGAGTTGAATAACGATTTATACCAGTCATTCATTCACTTGATTCTTTCTTCCACTACCTACAGTACATGTCCAGTGTCATAAACCAACGTAGATAGAACCCGAACCGAATCTATTCATTTATTACGAGTTATTTATCTAATCCTGTTACTCCTAGGCCTTGTTCTAAGGCTACCCTTCTTGAACCTCGCCGTTATAGGAAACGGCCTTGCCACCGTACTGCTCTTTAGTCCCTTGGGTAATCTCATCACAATGCCACAGGTAGACTGCTCAATAGTGTCCGGGGCCAATTCAAAACCGCAGAATTTCGCACCCAAGTTTCCCATATCAGTCTGAACCCAACCAGGGTCCAACACAAAGGCATTTAGCCACGCATCCTAGAGTTAATCCGAATACCGTACTAGGGGAGAGGAGATTTAGAGGCACCTTAAGCCGCACTAAGAACAGAAAGCTGACGTCTAAATAGAGAGCGAATCAGTATATATATATCATTGGATAAGGATCCCCTAACCCTAAAGCGTAGCTGTGGATCCCATCATAGCATAGACGGGTTTGGTTGACTTTTCAAGAAGAGGATGATTGGCTTGGTAGAGAGAAATAACACTGAAAACATGCTACTAAGGGAAACGAAGAAGGTAAAGGAGCTTTGGCCGTATGGCCATAGTCGGAATTGCCGCTTGATTACACCCGGGATAGCATAGGTTTTGAGATTGGAATGTGACATTGTTCGTCTTCAAGTGTACACGCGCTGTCAATTATACATTTATTTTAAATATTCATAGCGGGAGGTATCATTCGTTCCGAAACAAGACCCTCTGCGACACCGCCATACCACCCGAGAGTAATCCGTAGCTCGTAAGAGATAGCCTCATGCAGACTTACCCTCCACATGTTCTTCATATTGAACTTGTTCCTTCTTTTCTTCAATCTTCTCAACTAGCTTGCGCTTTGTATCTTCCCCTTCAAACAGATAGGCCAGCTCCTCAAGGGTAGGACCAGCCGTCTCGACGAAGAAGAAGTAAACAACAAGGAAGACGATGAAAACCCAAATATCATAGTAGATATAGAACTTCCACCCAATATTTTTCAATCCGATGGGGTTGACGTAGCTTCCAAATATAGATGCCACTTGAATCGTGAGTAGGACGAATGCCCACGTCTTGGCTCGCATCTGAAGAGTGACAACTTCGAGGGGATATGTGACAATAAGGTTGGTCCAGGCAAAAGTGTAAAAAGCCTGGAAGAAGAAAATACACGCTATCACAACCCGGCCAGCGGTCAATGAATTGTGCTCGAGGTATTGCTGGGCGGCAATAGTCCACACAATGAATGTGACGAGAACGCCGCCGGATCCAGTGAGGAAGAAGAAACGGCGTCGGAACCGATCAATAATCAAAGTGACGAATATGGCAACAATGTATTGCCACAATGTGACCATTCCATTCACGAGAGTGATTTCGTACTGCGTTTTCAAACCCGTGTCTTTGAGGATCTGCGTAAGATAGTTCGAGACAAGCAAGTTACCAGAGCTCTGACTGAATACCGCCGTGGCGAAACAGAGGAAGATGCGCTTGATATTTGCCCGGGAAGTGAAAAAGTCTTTCCAGGTCATGTTGTTCTCGGCTTCTTTATCAATGGCCTGTTGAATCTCGGCACACTCGACATTGACCAGCTCGGAGTTAGGATCGCACTCCCCGTGATACTTGATCAAAATCTGACGCGCTTCCTGGTGGCGGCCCTTCGCTATCAACCATCTAGGTGACTCGGGGCAGAACCAAATCAGACAGAACTGGTATGCAGAGGGAACAATTTGAATCAGGGTCGGAAGTCTCCAAGACCACTGGCTGGTAATTCTGTAGCAGCCAAATGTCGCCCAGGCACCGATAACATAGCCTAGCACGATAGAGGTATTGTAGAATGTGGTGATTTGGACACGCTCTTTGGGATGAGACAGCTCAGTGACCAAGACAGGAGCACCCATTTGGATGAGCGAAGATCCCACGCCAAGGACGATCTTCCCACCAATATACATGTTCAACGAGGTGGCGAAGAACTCGATGATCACGCCAGTGATAATGATGACGGACCCCAGTGCAGTTGGTAGACGTCGACCGAGCCTATCACTGATCCAACTCAGGAAGATGAAGGGAATTACGCCACCAATGGCATTGGCCGCGCCGAAGAAGCCTAGCTTTGCTCCTTCAGGATGTCCGAATCGATCTTGCCAGGTTTCCAAGACTTGCATACCATTCGTCATGGACTGTATGAATTGTCAGTTGAGATAAGATCACATGTTAGAGGAATAGAACTTACCCCGTCGATACCGAGCGCTGCACTTGCCAGCAGGGACGATGTGAGGAGAAAATAGAGTAAAATTCCATTCTTCCGACGCCAGAAAGGCGGCATCGAGTTCACATCGATAGAGGAGATAATGCCCTCGGCAGCATGAGCAGCAGCAGGAGCCATGGCTGTAGAAGAGAGCTGCTACTTTGCAGATGAGAAATAGATCGGGCTCGACTGTCCAAGTGGAATGCAGATCCGTTAATCCGAAGGCATCCTTGCACTTCTTATAGAAGTGACAGCTCTGTGGAAACGGCAGACGCACCGATAGCCCTAAGGTATCGGAACACTCGAAGCACACGTGGGAAGGAAAGACCTTGCATTGCGGGGATATGCCCCGTGGGGAAGAGAAGAATTGAGTTGGGTTCCTGGCGGCGAAACGGCGAAACGGGGAAACGGCGAAAATGCTGGCTGCCAAATCTCCGAAACAGTGCGGATAGCTCCATTTTGGAATTCCAAGTTAGTTCCCTTCGCTATAAGCTGTGTAAGCTCTCTGAATATTGTTCAGCTTGCTTTCTTCGTGTATCAAGCGTTTTCTGCTCTTTCGAAATCACCACAAAGGCATCAGTCATGCCACCTATTTCGCTGCCCCGTGATTTCCAATGGGGATTCGCAACAGCTGCCTATCAAATCGAAGGAGCTGTCGATGAAGATGGTCGCGGGAAATCAATTTGGGATACATTTTGTCATCTTGAGCCCACGCGGACGAAAGGAGCCAGCGGAGATATTGCCTGTGATCACTACCACCGCTTTGAGGAGGATTTTGATCTTCTCTCTAGTTACGGAGCGAAGGCCTACCGATTCTCAATTTCTTGGTCACGGATTATTCCGCTGGGAGGGCGGAATGACCCGGTGAATGAGTCTGGCATCGAGTTTTACAACAAGCTCATTGATTCCTTGCTTGCCAGGGGTATCACTCCTTGGGTCACCTTGTACCACTGGGACCTCCCTCAAGCACTTCATGATCGCTATGGTGGGTGGTTGGATGTGGAACAGTCCCAGCTCGACTTTGAACGATATGCCGAGATCTGCTATGAGCGATTTGGAGACAGAGTGAAGAATTGGATTACTCTCAACGAGCCATGGATTGTGTCTATCTTTGTAAGTGAATATACATATTTTACTTTCCTTAGCGACTAACGGATATAAGGGTTATGCTACTGGTGGAAATGCGCCAGGCCGAAGCAGCATCAATCCATATTCCACGGAGGGCAACACAGCCACAGAGCCCTGGATTGTTGGAAAGGCCTTGATCATGAGCCATGCCCGCGCTGTTGCCCTGTATAATAAGAGATTCCGAGCTTCTCAACAGGGCAAGATTGGGATTTCGCTCAATGGCGATTATTACGAACCTTGGGACTGGCAAGATGAGCGTGACCAACTCGCTGCAGAACGTCGCATGGAATTCCACATCGGGTGGTTCGCTAACCCGGTCTGGTGAGCACTCTCTTGAAATATCCGGGGGTTCACATACTGATTCGTTCGGCAGCTTAGCACAAGACTATCCCGTCTGCATGAGAGAGCAGCTCGGTGAGAGACTCCCCAAGTTTACAGATGCTGAGTTTGATCTCCTTCGCGAAGCCGACATGGACTTCTACGGCATGAACTATTACACTTCTCAATTCGCACGTCATCGTGACGGGCCCGCGCCAGAAACTGATTTCTTGGGAAACGTGGACGAATTCCAGGAAAACAAGCAGGAAGTGTCTGTCGGCGAACCGAGTGGTGTTCATTGGCTTCGCTCGACTCCCGGTCTTTTCCGCAAGCATTTGACGAGGGTGTACCGGAAATATGGAAAACCGATCTATATCACGGAAAACGGGTGTCCATGTCCGGGTGAGGACAAGATGACTCGTGAAGAGGCCGTCGAAGATGAGTATCGGATGCGGTATTTCCAGGATCATCTTGATGCCGTCGGACTGGCTTTCAACGAGGATGGCTCAGATATCAAAGGATACTTTGCGTGGTCGTTGATGGATAACTTGGGTAAGTTTGACATCAAACCCTTCACTTAATTTGGTAAATTGACTCTTCTAGAATGGTCTGATGGCTACGGTGTCCGATTTGGCGTCACTTTCACCGATTACGACACTCTGGAGAGAACGCCGAAGAAGTCCGCGTTGCAATTGAAGACCATGTTCGATGAGCGGATGGCTGCTGGGACAGATGGCGCTGAAAGATCTTCTGTTACCAATGTTAGGGCACATATGTGAAGGGTTTTTCATGTGTGAGGTTTTTAGGTTAGAATCATTTTACAATTTTTCAGGTATCACGATATAGACTAGATTGGAACTAAGACTGCAAACACCCTTCTACATGTCAACATATTCCATCCGTTCCTAAGAAGCTCTCAACTTGGCATTAGCAACGAGAAAACAAAAATTGGACTAGATCTCGCAAAAAGGCCTCGATCGGGAATCCCCCGGGTTCCACATCCCGCATCGGCGAAATTCAGGGTCCGGGGTATTTGAACGAGGCTAATCCACCGATCTCGGGCTCCTCTTCCCCGTCACATTTTCCCGTCGCCCCAGATCACAGGCCAGCAAAAAAATGTGATGGCAATTATTAGCCCTGCTAGATCTCGAGCACCGGCTAGAGCATGTGATCGATGCCGACGGAGAAAAGCAAAAGTGAGAGCCAAGTGAAATGGGAAAGTCCCGGCAAATTTCAAACAGCCAGACTAACGCTGCATTAGTGCGACTGTTCGGATTCATCGTCGATATGCACCAGTTGTCGCTTATCGGGAGGTTCATGCACGTTTGATTTGCCGCTTGCTAGACGAGGACCCAAGACGAAGCGGCAAAAGTCCAGTAATGAAGCTCATCCGAATTCTCTACGCAGCCCTTCCCCGCCTTCTTTGGATTTACCGGGACACAGCCCTAATACTGGCTTGGGCGTTACACCAACTGCTGCAGTTTCACTCGATGCATGGGACTCTAGTCTTACAGTGGTCGATCCCGTGCTCTCGCCTGACACAGTTCACACAGTTCGAACTTCTATCTCGGGTACCGCATCGGCAAGGGCCATTTCAGCCTTACAACGATGGCAAAACCTAGCACATGAACTATGTTCAAGAGATCTATCGGCAAATCTAGAGAGAACAGTAAACCGCTCTTTTGAGCTGTTCTTTCAATATCTCTTCCCGTTGATTCCACTGGTTCATGAACCTAGTCTTCGAGATGGACTCAGCTTCTTTGTTACCCAGAGAAATAACACAACGGAAGATGGTTTGATATACGGGCTCAATAGTCTCAAATATCCAGAGTTGTGGCCAGATGTTACTTTCACATTAGTCACTGCTGTCTGTGCCGAGGCAGCATTCCTTCTTCCGAAAAATATCTTCCCTGAAGGAGAAAGCATCGCAGAGATATTTCTTGAGGCCTCTCGCAACTGCTTGATCACATACCTGGAGGCCGATCTTGAATACCCCAATGCCAATTCTGTTGCAGTTCGATACTTTCACTCCAACTGCATGCATGCAGCTGGCAAACCACGACTGTCATGGCATATATTCGGCGAGGCTACCAGATTGGCGCAGGTGATGCAGATGCATGAAGAGGAATCTCTCCAGGGTCTCTCGCTTCTGGAGGCAGAGTTCCGACGACGTGCATTCTGGATAGTCTACATCGGTGATAAATCAGCCGCCATCTTGAATAATCGGCCAATCACCATTCACAAATTCTCATTTGATTCGGGAATCACCATCGGGTATCCCATGGGCATCGAAGACGAAAGTGTCGTGACACCGAGAAGCGCGGATTCAGATGATACAAATAGTCGGAAGAGTTTTATCGCAGGCTTCAACGCCAATCTCCGGCTCTGGCAAAGTGCATCAGATTTACTTTTGGAGATGCGACTGATAGACCAAAGCAGGACAGTAAATGGGATTGCTCGTTCACCACCTACAGCCGAGGAGAGGCATCGATTGGATCATCTCTATGTGCTTTTTGCTACCTCCCTCGATGACTTGCCCTCGCTCCTACAACCAGACAAGCTGATGATCAACGTGGGCGAAGAAAGCAACCAACTAAATAGCTTGATGAGACAGTGTGGTATTCAAGCGGCAAATCTCCATGTCTCATTGCACTGCCTCAAGATGGTAATCACGCAGAAGTTGGAAGAGTTCAACTATTTCATTCCGACGCGCAATGACATGTTGTTACTGAGAAAAACCGACATCGCGCGCGACATGCTGCGTGTTATCCGGGACGCTCCTTTCTGGACACTGCAGGTGAATGGCGAACCATGCGTAAGTCAGATTTCTCACCAGCACTTAGGGACATATTCTAATAATTGAGCAGGTGGAAAAGATCCGGCTTATCGGAGCTAGTTTGCTAGAGATTATTGATCAGCATGAGAATTCCCCCCTATCTGTTCGAGCACGGAATGATCTCTCGGTGTTACTGGATATTCTGACCGAACTTGACTCGAAAGCATCGGATACATTGCGGCGATTGCTCTGAAAGGCCGAACTGTAGTATAATTTTAAGCAATCTTGTCAGATGACTCCCCAAGTGGGGCTCTTATGCCGTTTAACCTAAATGAAGCTTAATTAGGCAGGAGGTTTACATATTTCCCCGATTCTCCGGGCTCTCGGCCATTCGGATATTTACTTCCTTTCGGTGTGTTCTCTACCCCCGCAACGTCCAATCCATATTGGATATTATGGAGCAATAATAAAACTGGGCACGAATAAAATAACATTTGGGGTAGCTCACATGTGTGAAGCTTTTGATGGTGCGCCAGATGTGATTGGCCACCGTTAGAGTCCAGGAAATACGTATGAAATGCGGGAAATCTTGGACAGAGCTTGGGGTAATTGCGTTTTGACTTCGATCCGGGCAGGAAGCGGTCTATATAAGTTGGTGTTTCACGACATCAAACCTTTTTGACCATATCAAATCTTGACTTACTGTCAAGCACCGCCAACATGCGTCTCAGCCAGATTTCTACATCGACTGTTCTCTGGCTGGGTTTGGCCCAGGCCCTACCCAAAACTTCAAGCCAAGCGAGCAAGCCATCGTGTCGCTTTGCAGCCGAATATACTCAGGAGCAAATACTTCGCGATCCCACCGATTTCTTGGATGACATGCTGTACTGGGAGGGCAAGTTCCATCAAAATAACGTCTCATATAACGCCGACAACGGCATGTCCTACGATGGAACCAGCATCGACTGGGTCACCGGAGAGAGAGCCTTGAAGCATCCATTCAGTGCTGCCAGCAAAGAGGCAAGTGGGACATCCAGCCTGTGTTGGGATCTCAGTTCTTAGCTAACTATATTGATAGGCGCTTCAAATCATGTTGTATGCGCATGCAGTTTCCGGCTCCTCACAAGCTGCTCGCTTCCTTTCTCCTGATCACCCATCTGCAGCCCCCAAGATTGCCGTTTCTATAATGGAGACCAAGTTGCAGACTTACCAGAAATTCAACGAGACATACCCAGGATTCGGTGGCTTTCTGCCTTGGTTTACATCAAGCACGCAAGATATCACACCCACGTGGGACTGGGTAAACCGAGTTCCTGCTCTTGACAATGGGTAAGAAATATGCTATACATTGAAAAATTGCTGCTAATCTTGTGAAAGTGAACTACTGTGGGCCGTATATGGGTTTATCCAAGCTCTTGAGAGCACCGGAAACAAGTCTTATCTTGGACTCGCTCAGAAGTGGCAAACTTGGATGGACTATACCAAGACCACTGCTGCGAAGGTAACATCCAAACTTAGCCTGAGAGTTTTCTCTTTGAAGCCTTGTGTACTCATTGTTATTTGCGCAGATATTTTACCTGGGCGATGGTCAGGTTTGCGCCGTAATTGACCTCAAGGATCAGTCTTTACCCGTTGATCATCCCGACCAGTCCTATACCTGCGAGGGCAGTGGCCGACTCAATGACCCTTATGAGGGCGAACTATTCACCTTCTGGCTTCAATTCTTCGCTGATCTACCGGATTCTGACAAGAAAGCACTCTGGGAAACTAAGCGTCCCCAGCTAGTCAGCGTAGACTACCACGTAGGCAACGTTGGGCCTATCACTGTCCAAAAAGGTTAGAAGCTTGCTAATATTTCTGGAATTCACTGCTGAGATTTGGACTAGGATATTGGTTCTCCAGCCATGAAACCTGGAAGGTCATGGAGATGCCATACTACGACATTGATATTGTCCGGTACGTTGATCCCAAGGCGGCTATAGATTTACCTCAAACTAACAATTACCCACAAGACGCGTATACGAAAATGCCGAACGTGTGCGTACCTGCAACTCAGTCGTCACCAAAAACCCCGGAATGTTCGCATCTGTCAATAACATCACGGACCCCTCAACCGGGGATGTCGTCGGTTATATCTCGAACGCTGGTATCCCGTCAATCTCGAATCAGACTGTGCAGGAGCTCGATGTCATTACTCCATATAGTGTGTTTCCGACTATCCTGTTTAACAAGTCTGTTGGTCTGGCCTGGTGGAGAAACATGGTCGTTGCAAGAAAAATGCAAAGTGAGTACCGTTTGCCGTGCACCTTCGGCCTAATGCTGATACTGACCGCTACTACTAAGACATTTATGGGAGTACTGAATCTACCCGTGTCGACGGCACAGGAGTTTCTGCGCTGCTTACTTGGGATAGCAAGGTCACCACGGTCAGTGCGCTGCTTGGAGGTGTGACCGATTTTGTTCGCCAGAAGATGAAGGCGGACAAGATCTATGACGAGTTCGTGGATATCATTGAGGTAAGTGTCTATGCTATCTGGCCATTATCCTCTTCGGAGAAATGCTAATTGGTATCGTTTAGACCGAGTACTCGCGTGTATTCAAGAATCTTAAGGGAGAGGATGTTGCATTCTGTCTACCTTGGGACACAGTTCCCGATACGGGGTTAGCAGACTTTGCTCTTTGCCAATAGATCTGCTGGGGTGTTTTGAATGGACTCAATACATGAGGCCATTATATTCATCCGCACTGTAGGAATCCTAGGATCATTCGGATATTCGATGCACCGAACACTTAGCCCCATAGCAAGATGGCAGGTACTTACGGGTATAGATAACAATTTATTTCAGTCATTCAATCGACGGCTTTGTATTTCCGCTACCAGTATCATAGACGAAGGAGATAGACCCCGAAACGAATATATTCTTTTATTTCGATTCAGCCAAGCAAGCAGGCAAGATATAGTAAACTAAATGTAACCAAGCCCACACGCTCACAGACGACTCTTAGCATTAAACCCAGAAGCAATAAGCAAACGATCAGCCTCATCGCGCTGCCAGTTCAGCTTAGCAGTAACAGCATCCTTGCGCGACTTATTCTCGCGCTTACCAAGCTGCTGCAAATGAACTTCATCGGGTCCATCAGCAATACGCAGTGTCCGAATCCCAGCCCACATATAAGCAAGGGGGGTGTCCTGACAGACACCAGCAGCACCGTAAGCCTGCACGGCACGATCAATAATAGCCAGCGCAGTCTGCGGTACGAGGACCTTGGCCTGTGCAATCTCCTTCAGCGCGCCCTTGGCATCACCCTGATCGATCTTGATAGCCGCATTGAGAACAATTAGTCTGGCAGCATCGACTTCAATGCGCGACTTGGCGATCCACTCTATGATAACGCCGTGTGCGACGAGCGGCTGGCCGAATGTCTTCTTGCGCTCGTCGTTGACGCGGGCAATGAGCCATTCGAGGGCGCGCTCTGCTGCGCCGATTGCGCGCATGGCGTGATGGATGCGGCCGGGGCCGAGGCGGCCTTGGATGATTTCGAAGCCGCGGCCTTCGCCGAGGACCATGTTTGCTACGGGAACGCGCACATCCTTGAATGTGATGTGGCCGTGGCCGTGGGGGGCGTCATCGTAGCCGTATACGTGGAGCATGCGGTGCACGGTAATGCCGGGTAGACCGGCTGGCACGAGGACGACGGATTGCTGCTTGTAGGGGTCGCGGTTGGTAGGGTCTGTCTTGCCCATTACTAGGTAGATGGAGCAGCGGGGGTCACCAGCACCCGAGGACCACCATTTCTATGGGTATTTGTTAGCGAATGTGAAACAGAGCTTGTATGGGAAGTCGAGGGGACATACTGAGCCGTTGAGGACATATTCGTTGCCTTCGCGGCGGATGTTCAGCTCGATGTTGGTAGCATCGCTAGATGCAACATCGGGCTCGGTCATCAGGAAGGCAGAGCGGATCTTGCCCTGCAGCAGAGGCTCAAGCCACTGCTTCTTCTGTGCGTCGTTGCCGTACTTGGCGAACACCTCCATGTTACCAGTATCCGGGGCAGCATTGTTTGTAGCCTGTGCATTGAGTTGTCAGTAATCAATCATAGGACACGATATCCTTGGGGGTATCAAATCAAAATACCAAGCTATGCGCCCAGTAGAAATGACAGAAGTAAAGAAACAGAGCAACCCACCTCGGAAGCAATCTTGCTCTTGCCGAGCAACTCAGCCATTAAGCCGTATTCCAAATTGGAGAACCCCGCACCCTGAGTGAAGTGGTTCTTGGGCAGGAACATGTTCCACAGGCCAATCTTCTTCGCCTTCTCCTTCAAGGTCTCCATGATAGCGGGGGTAGTGCTCCATCGCTTCTCGCCCTCGCCAAGCTGGGCGGTATAGACAGCATCGGCGGGGATACAGTCCTTCTCGACGAATTCCTCGACCTAGAATAATCGTCAGTATATAAGTAGGGAAAACAGACCGAGGGGGTGGCTCGGCGGGTTTGGGCCCGGGTATGGGGGTTACGTACCAGGTCGAGGGTGCGCTTGGCCTGATCGCTGACGAACGGCTGGGCGATAGGGGGGATGCGAGTTGAGGCAGACATGATTGAAGGGGATGTGATGGGAGAATGGAGAGTGGCCTCGATGCTGAATATAAAGAGAAGAGGTCAGGCCATGAGGATTGCGGAGAAAGAGCTGAGATGTGTGGAGAAGCCGAGAGTGGCGGGTTTTGCCTCGGCCCAGGATGTATAGCTACACACCTTTGCCAGTACAAGTGGTAGGGGAATAGGGATATACTGGAAGATGTCTCGTATGATTCAGAGTAAAATATGTCCTACTTTATTCTCTTGTTCTCCCTTTGTTCCCTAATTCCCCAGTCCAAGGTCGTATATACACTATAACCGACCTTCAACCTCGGCCAGATCCCCGAGGTCCAATACGAGTTACAATATAAGCCAGAATACACCATAATTAAGTCAAAGGTTCCAAGGTTGTATTGATCCAATGAGCTCCAAAGCTCCCTCCCAATTACACCCAAATCCCAACACCCGTTGATACACAATAAAACACAAAAAAGAAAGGCATCGCGGGTCATCACAAAAGAAAAAGAAGAAGAGAAGAAAAGCACCCTGAAATAGTAGACAACCTCAGCCCAACACTCTGTCCGTCCAAACTCTCAAACGAGTCGTCCCTCACTACCTCCAACCCAGCGACCGGCGCGAATAGGCCAGACATACCGAGGAAAGAAAGAAGAACAGCACAGACAGAGGCCCAAACCAAGGGAGCATCCAGAATGAGAATAAGAAAGAATAAAGCAATGAGCCCAAGCCCGAAATGAAAGAGGAAAGTAGGGCAGGCCATCAACACCAACTTCAATTATTCGGCATTGGCGGTTCGGCCCTGCTCAGCCGATGACTGCTCGTAACTCTTCTTGCCGAGCTTAGCAAAGAGCGACTGGGGCTTGCCGGCACTGAGGGGAGAGAAAATATGTTAGCGAATTGGACAAGGGTATTTATTAGGGGACATTCACGCCGAGGCAGTTCTCGGTAATCCGAAAGGACAAGCATAAACAAAAAAAAAACACTTACTTCTTAAAGCGCTTCCCCTTGATATCACTCAGCTTCTTCGTGCAGGGACTCATAATATCATCTGAAGGCGAGACGTAGGCGGTTGGTTGTCTAAAGAACGAGTCGGGTTAGCCATGTTGCATCATAATAGCGGTCTGGACATGGAATGAAGATGAAGATTGATGACTGGGGACTGGTAATACTCACTCCTCGCCTACTACTTTTCCCTGCAAGACCTGGCGGTGGTACTCCATCGTTGAGGGATCGGCACCCTTGAGGTCAGACTTGTCTGTGTTGGCCAGGTGGGTGTTTGTTGGGCGGTCGGCCAGAGGTTGGGGTTGGGATTGTGTGGTGTCCATTTTGGAGTGTGAGATGTAGTAGTTCTTGGAGATTTGAAGAGCAGTAAATATTAGCTGTGTGGGACAGAACAGAGGATGTGGGAGAAGAGACTGAAAACAGAGGCAGATCGATCGGATAAGAGGGAAAAACGTGTTGTTGGTGCACGAGAAAATATGGGTGATTGTTGGCAGGGCAACAGCCCTCTATGACGCGCCACATTGTTCACTTCTTCTTGTTCTACTTGATGAGTTATGTTTATGTCTGACTTTTTGAGCCTAGAATTTAATCCAGAATGTATTTTACTAGAAAGTGGGAATCATATAATCGTCCAAACATACAGTGTAGAGGTACAGTGTCGTTGTACAGATGCAAAATAACGCCAAAGGATCCCCAATACAGAGTCATCAGTAAAGTGGCTGGTGCCATTATACATAGAAAATAAAAAAGAAAAGGAAATGATTGGGGCCAGCCAAGGTGTTCAAATCCTGGAATGCAAGCAATCAAATCACAATCATAGCTCATCCGACCGCGGATTGTCGGCTTGAGTTTCAGTGGCATCCAAGTCCACGATGTGTCCTCTCAAGGAAGGTGGGGTGCTATGAGGACGGAAATGCGGTGGTTCAAGTGTGGGCACCGACATAGACTCCGGGGAGATATGCTGGTCCATTTTATGCGTCTCTTCAGGCTCCGGCGAGGAATCAGACGTTGGTGTCGGTGGGACATAAGCCGCTGTCGGACTAGTCGCACTGTCCTCGGACGAGTCAGAGATATTCCTGCGGTGGCCCCCGTTCTCACGGTAAGACGACGTCGGGCGTGTGGAACTAGGACTTGCAGACGGCGAGGCAGAGGCGAAGATGGGAGATGAGGAACGCAGGCTGTAGGACCGGGCGACCATTCTTTGAACGCCCGGGAATTCCATATAGTTGCTGACAGACCCTCGTGAAAACAGGACTATAGCAAAGCAGCAGAGGACCATGATGCTCTGGATGACGGTAACTCGTTTCTGGAACACGAGCTCGTCGGCTAGTACGCCTAGCTGGGCGCTGAGGGAGTGGACTTCCCGATGGTATTGCATGCGCTGGTGCTCGAATTCGAGAGCGACAGATTTCCAGACGTGGTCGTACTGCTCACGGAATTCTTTCAGTTCATGAAGAACTGTGACATTTAGATTTTCGAGGAATGTAGATGTCTTTGCAAGTTGTCGTTTCTCAACTTTGTTAAATGCATCCCGCAGAATGCGAGACTGCTCTTCGATGTACAGAAGGGAGAGGGTAGAGTTCGATTCGAGCATCTGTAGTCGTTTATGGACGGACTTGAAGAAGGACTCTTGGGTAGTTGGGTTTGCTGAGGGCGGTTGTGTATTTGTAGGTCTGGTCGACTCTGAGGGAGGGACGTTCGATTCCTCTTTAGCATTGGTGGTGGCTTTGCCGGCGGTTTCGGATGTGGTGTTCTGCTGGGTGGTTTCTGAAGAAGCAAACGATGCTTCTGAGGTTGTCACAACGCCTTTCGCAGGCTCACCCGTCTTTCGCGTATCTTCTCCAGCCTTGGGAGGAGCAGACGGCCCTGAGTTAGTCACTGAGGTACTCACACCTGCTGCGACAGTAGAGTTCTCCTTCGGTGGCACCTTTGTCTGGGCTGCCGTCGCTGGCGCGGAGGGTGTAGTGACAGGCGGCCCTTCATCGACACCACATGTCTCCACATGAAGGAGTTTTTCAAAGAGCGCACTCGGATCTGCCAGTGTGTTGGCGCAAACTTCCTCAACTCTAGTACGGGTGACAACCGGGGCAACAGG